ACCAAACCTATTTTAAAAAGAAAGAAAATACTCAAATCCAGGTAATTAAGAATGAAAAGGATGAAATCACAACAGATCCTTCAGAAATCAGGATCACCAACACCTACTTTAAGAACCTGTATTCTAATAAGATGGAAAACACAGAAGAAAGGGACAGATTCCTAGATACATATGAACTACCAAAGCTGAAACAAGAAGATATAAAAGTTCTAAATAACCCCATATCACTCAATGAAATGGAAAATGTAATTAAAATTCTACCAAGGAAAAACCCAGGTCCTGATAGATTTATTGCTGAATTCTACAAGAAATTTGGAGAAGATCTAATGCCACTATTCCTCAAACTCTTCAATGAAATTAAAAGGGAAACAATACTCTCAAAGTCATTCCTAGAAGGAAGTATTATCCTTATATTTAAAACCAGAGAAAGACCCAACCAAAAAAGAGAACTACAGAACTACAATCTTCCTAATAAGCATAGATGCAAAAATTCTTAGTAAGATACTGGAAAAACATGATGTAACAAATCATCAAGATAATACACCAGGACCAAGACAGATTCATCCCAGGAATGCAGAGATGGTTCAACATATGCCAATCAATAAGTATAATACACAATGTCAACAAAACTTAGCATAAAAATCATATGGTCATCTCAATAGATGCAGAGAAAGTATTTGACAAAGTTGAACACTCATTCAGGATAAAAACCCTATAGAAAATTGGAATGGATGGTATTTATCTCAGTCTGATAAGAGCCGTTCATGATAAACCAACAAATAGCATCACACTGAATGCACAAATATTGAAAGTTTTCCCTCTAAAATTAGAAATAAGACAAAGATGTCTACTGTCACTACTTCTATTCAATATAGTTCTGGATGTATTAGCCAGAGCAATTAGACAAGAGATAGAAAAAAAAAAAAAGGAATAAGGATAGGAAAGGAAGAAGTTAAATTGTCATTACCTACCGATAACATGATATTCTGCATAAAACACCCCAAAAACTCTACCACAAGATGTGTAGATTTAATAATAAAATTCAGTAGTATAGCTGGATACAAAGTCAATACTTAAAAACCAATAACATTCCTGCACAAAAATAAACTCAGTGAGAGAGAAATTAGGGTAACCACAGATTTCACAATAACATCAAAAAAGTGATATAGGAATCAGTCTAACGAAGGAAGTGAAAGATCATTACACTGAAAACTGCAGTACTCTTAAAACAGAGATCAAAGACGATAACAGAAAATGGAAATATATCCCTTCCTCTTAGACAAGAAGAATAAACATAGTGAAAGTGGCCATATTCCCAAAATTGTTAAACAGATTTAATGCCATCCCAATCAAAATATGGATAGCATACCTCACAGAATTAGAGGAAACAATTTTAAAATACATTTGAAACCAGAAGAGACAGAGAATAACAAACACAATTCTCAGCAACAAAGGGAAGGCAGGAGGTATCACAACCCCTAGCTTGAAATTATATTACAAAGCCACCGTGATAAAAACAGCATGATGTTGGTTAAAAACAAAAAAAAGATAATTGGAACTGATTAAAAGATGCAGAAACAACTCCAAACACACTCTGCCCCCTTACCTTTGACAAAGAGACTTAACACCTTCATGGGAAGAAAGATAGTCTCTTTAATAAATGGTGCTGGGAAAACTGAGTTTCCACATGCCAAAGACTAAAACTAGACCCATGTCTGTCACCATGTACTAAACGAAAATAAAAATGGATCAAAGATCTAAATATTAAAACAGAAAGTAGAACCTTCTGTTGGAAGATAAAATAGGTAAAACTCTTGAAGTCATAGGGGTAGGCAAAGACCTTACGAACAAAACTCCAATTGTACAGGAACCATCACAAAGAATCAATAACTGGGATCTCATCTTATTAAAAAACTTTTGCACAGCAAAAGAGATCACCAACAGAGTGGAGACAATCTACAAGTGTGAAAAAAATGTTTGCCAGCTATTCCTTAGACAAAGGACTTCTATCTAGAATATATAAAGAACTCAAAAAGTCGTATCCCCCAAATTTAGAGACCCAATCCAAAAATGGGCATCTGAAATGAATACATACTTCACAGATGAAAAATACAAACAGTAAATAAACAGATGAAAAGATGTTCAACATCACTGATCGTTAGAGAAAGGCAGATTAAAACATTGCTGAGATTCTGTCTCACTCCATAAAGAATGGCTATTATCAAGAATGCAAATGATAACAAATGCTGGTGGGACTGTGCAGAAATAGGAACCCTTTTCCACTATTGGTGGGAATGGTACAACTATTGCAGAAATTAGCATGGAGATTCCTCAAAAAACTAAAACTAGAAGTTCCATTTCATCCAGCTATTCCCCTTCTTCATATCTTTCCAAAAGAATTAAAAGCATTACACCACAGCAATATATGTGCACCCATGTTTATAGCAGCACAATTTGTAATAGCTAAGTCTTGGAAACAGCCCAAAGGGATAAAGATGTAAGTTTTGTATACAATGGAGTAGTACTCAGCCATAAAGAATGATAAATTAAGACATATCTAGCTAAAATGATACACCTTGAGACCATAGCCTTAAGTGAAATAAATTGGACACACCTGTGTAAATATCACATTGTTTCTTTCTCTAATGTGAAAAGCTGAAAGTGTAAATAAGGAGCAAAATGTATAATTAATATTGTAGAATTGGGGCTGGGGATTTAGCTCAGCGGCAAAGTGCCTGCCTGGCAAGCGCAAGGTCGTGAGTTCGGTTCCCGGTACTGGAGAAAAACCAAAAAAAAAAGCTGTCCTTAATATTGTAGAATAGGAATAAAATGTTCAAATAAAAAGGAGAACTAGTGAGGGGGAAAGAAAGGAAAGGGGAAGATAAAATGAGAAAAAAGGAAAAAACGGAAACAAAGCTTTTATAAGTAAAGAGCAGAAGAGTGATTGAAGGGAGGGGAAGGGAATGGGGAAAAATGAAGAATCAAGACAGATCATGTACAGGTACAAATTCCCTGTGCTGAATGTGATCATTATGTATATCTAAAATAAACCAATAAAATTACTTAATTACAAAAAGAGAAATGAATCATCTGAAACAGTGTTTTTGGTCTAGAAATATTGCGGAACTCAGTGTGGTCTCCGATGTCTTCACCCTGCCTAGCTCCTAAAGTCAAAAGCCAAAGTCCACAGAGTAATATTTGAGATTTCTCTTCCATCCAGTTGTGAGGATTCGTCTTCAGGATTTAAAATAAGGGTATCAGACTATAACCATCCTGCAAATTCTCTGTGAGCTTGAGTTTAAAAAGATTTAAAATGTCTGTATGTGTGAGTTTCATACCATTGGACAGATCCAACAGATAGATTCCAAACTCTTTTATGCAGAAATCAAAGAATTGCAAATGCATCCAATGGTGGAAGCAGCTGCAGTTACTGCAGACCACAGGAAACCATGCTCAGGGCAGATCCATGCCAGCAGAAACAAAAATATGGCACAAAGAGAAAAGCTATGCCAAGGTGATAGGGAAAGTAAACAGTACACAGATAACATCAGGCTTTCAAATGTCTGAGTGGGTGCACCCCAGCCTGGTGCCTCTTACTGGGTCTCTAGGTAAGATTAAGAGAGTGCTGAGCTGTCCCGAGTTAGGGTCTTTTACAAGTATATAAAAGCTTTGTTCCAGAGCTCACCTCAATTGAATTACATGGAACAGTAGAAGGAGGATTGGCCCTGAGCTGTTGCCCAAACTCAAGTGGGTGGAGGGGAACTGTCTCCCATATGCGCTCCCTGCACTAGGTTTATATATGTCTTGGTTACTTTTCTCTCATTGCTGAGACAAAATACCTGACACCCAGAATTAAGGAAGGGAAGGTTTATTTAGCTCACAGCTGGTGGGGGTTTCAGTCCATACTTGGCTGGCTCCAAGGCAGGATGGCACATAGCAGGGGGCAACAGTTCATGGCAACAGAAGAGAGCAAAAGTAACAAGAGTGAAAAGCGGGGAGAGGCGACAAGCAGCCTCTTTCCCTCCCTTACATTGCATGCAAACTATCCACCCCAAGGCAGGTGTAGCACTTAGACCCATAGTCTCAGCAATGGACCATGAATCAATCATAAATTCTAGAAGCCTACCCTATGACTGCATGAGGCTTTGGGGGGACATCCAGACACAAACCATAACATTATACAGAATGCATACTAAAATCCTACCTGTCAAAATTTTAAAGTGATTATTCCCCAGTGTAAAAATATGGATGACTTAAATTTTCTTCAAAAATCACAATACCTTTCTTCTTTTTTTTTGATACCAGGAATCAGGAACTTGTGCTTGCCAAGCAGGCACTTGTGCCGCTGAGCTACATCCCCAGCCACAATGCTTTTCAAGCACATATGTTGAGAAGAAAGTCTTAAGGGCCACACACACGTTGAAGATCAGTGTAGAGGACAGGAAGACAGGATTGCATTGCTCTATGTTCTCTTATGCCTTTTAATGTTTTCACTGATAATTTATAATTTTAAAACATAAGTAATAAAAGTTTGGTGATAAATTTTGAATTTTTAGAAAGGCCTGTGAGGCCGTCTTGTTCCCTCTCCTTTGGAGGTGTCTTCATGACCCTCTTATTTGCTCAGATGGGGCCAAGAATGTGAGAAGAGCTTGTGGTTTTTCTGCTTGCAGAGCATGGAGCAGTTTTCACACAGTGCGCTCAGCTCCACGCATCTCAGGTGGTACCCAAGCGAGGCCATGGCCTCGGAAGAGTAATGAATCACCAATAAAAATTGATTTTAAATATTAAATATGGAAAGCTCATTTTCTCACAGTCTCACTTTCTCCTCACAGCTGTCCCAGGAGGCCCGGACTTTAAACACCTTTTTTGACAGGCAGCACTGCTGGTACACATCAGAGCTAGGATTTCAGTCTACATCTTTGTGACTTCACAAACCAGTGTCCTTACACGGAAATAAAAATTGTGAAATTGGGAAGTTTCAACGCTGCAGAATTCTTTTTCAGAACTTTGATATCTTCCTACAATTCTTCTTGAGATTTACTCTACTAATCAAAACCCATCACCACGAACCTCTAAGTATTTCTCCACCTCAGTTTCTGTTGAAACTGCTGTAATACAATGTCCTGGATTCCTAGGAGCCCAACTGTTTAAGTGAATTATCTTTGAGACAGCACCCTCGGTGTTTCTGGTAAGCTTTCTTCCTCCAATGTGCGATAATATTTGCCCCACTTCTCTTCAGGTCCTTGCTAGAGACCCCTCAGATATCTGAGGCTTCCGCTAACAGTCCCTTCAATGGTCTCTTTTTACCAGCACGTGCTTGCAGCGCACCCTGTGTGTGTTCATCTGGGGAGCAGGTCCACGTTCTCTACACATTTTAATTCTTTCTACTCCCCTTTGCCTCCTCCACCCTCATGCACTCCCTCTGTCTCTGGATCCCCTTCCCGTTTGGAAAAAGGTCTGTCTCCCGGTTTCCTACTGTCTTTTACTGTTTTTTTTTAAAATTGTTTGTCTTTTGGGTTTTTCGTATAAAAGAAGTTGTGCCATATTTAAGCTTGTGCATCTGATTTTGGGGGGGAGGCGGGTACCAGGAACTGAACTCAGGGCCTCACACTTGCCAGGCAGGCACAGTGTACATCAGATTTATTTCATTTAACATTGTGGTTTCAGGATACCTCCACTTTCCTACAAATGACTCAAGTTTATCAATCTTTAAGGCAGCATAGTACTCCATTGTGTTCAAATACCACATTTTCTTTATCTGTTCATCTGCTGATGGACACTTAGGCCACTTCCAAGACTGAACTACTATGACCTGCACTGCTGTAAACATGCATATACATGTATCATTGTGATGTGATGTCTTTAACTCTTTTGGGAAAATACCTAAAGGGGTATACCTGCTCTTTATGGTTTCTCTAACATGCTTCTCAAAGCCTTAACAGCTTTTTCTGTCCCTCCCTGTTTGAAGGCTACAGTAACATTTACAAATATTTGTTATGCCAACATCCCACTTCCAAGTATGAAACCTGAGTTAGATTTCTGTTACTGTAACAAATGACTACAAAACCTACAAATGACTTAAAACCTTAAGAATGTGTTGTGTTAGCTTTTCTGTGGGACAGTGGTGTGGGAGCAGCTTAGCTGGGTGGTTGTGGTCTAGGTCCCTCATGAGTTTATAGTCACGATGTCAGTCATGTGATGTCAGGCAGTGAATCCATTTGTCATGTGGCTCACATGGCTGCTGGCGGAAGGACTGAGCTCCTCACTGAATGCTGGGAGTCTCAGGGTGTTACTTGAGTGTTCCCATGATTTGGAAGTTGGCTTCAACCCAAGATGGAAGCTACAGTGACTTTTATGATATAGCATCAGAGGTTGTATCATACACAGTCGTGTTCACAACATCTTATCAGTTCACAGGAAGCTCTATTCAGTACAGGAGAGCATTAATATGAGATTTTGAACATCAGGAGGCGGAGGTCATTGGGCACCACCTTGGAGTTCACTATACTTTCATTAGTGTTTTATAGTTTTCAGTATCTAAACATTGACCATATTTTGATAGGTTTATCCCAAAGTACTTTATGTTCTTTGATGTCATTGTATCATGTCATTGTAAGTGGCTCTGCTTTTTAAAAATTTTTCATTTCTAGTTGTTCTTTCTACTGTAGAGAAATATAATTAACTTTTATATTGTCTTTGTCACCTGTGATCTTGCTAAAGGTGCATCTTCTAGTATCTCTTTGAGATTCTTTGAGATTTGCTATGTAGTGAAATCATGTGACTGTGAATTCTTAAAGTTTCATTTCTTCCTTTCTAATCTATATGTCTATTTGTTAATGTAGCCCACAGTCTAGGATCCTCAATGTAAAGGTAAATAGAAGTCATACAAGTGTGCATCTGTGCCTTACATCCAAGCATGGAAAGAAGGCACATAGTCCTTCACCCCTGAGTATGATGCTACAGGTTTGTAATAGATGTTTTTTATTAGGTAGGGCAATTTCCTTTTGATTCCTAACTTATTAGAAGCTACTATAAATGGATGTTGACATTTGTTCAGTGCTCTTTATGAATCTGTTTGTATAATCATATAGTTTTCTATCTTAATTTGCTCTTATGTCAAATTGCATTGATTGGTTTTTGAATGTTGAACCAACCTTGCGTTCCTGGGATAAATCTCCTTTGGACATGTTTTCTCTTTTTCACATATGGTTGTATTTGATTTCCTAATGGTCTGTTAAGGATTTTGAGTCTGTTATCATGAGAAATATTGTTCTAATATTTCCTTTCTCTGCTTTATCTTCACAATGTTAGCCTTATACAATTATTTGAGAGGTGCCCTCTTCTATTTTCTGATCTCTATATATTTACAAGTGAAATATTATTCTTCTATTTGCTTAAAATTATTTGGAATGTAAGGAAGACTTCAGTGTGAATATGAGTGATAAAAGCCTAAAAGTTGGTAATTGCTGAAGGTTAACAATAGGTATATAGGAATTTATTATACTTTTCTCTGTATTGCATAGGTTTGAAATTTTTAATAATAAAATATTTTATTTTTAAAATAAAACACTGATATTTACACAAATGGAGTACCATTCCCCCATGAAGAAGGATAAATTTGAGTCATTTATAGGAAAATGGATGCACTTGAGACCATAATTCTAAGTGAAATAATTCAGACACATAATCATAAATATCATACAATTTCTCATATGAGAAACCAAAGTATAAATGATTTAAAGAACAAAATAAAGGATATACAATAGGAATAATGAGGTAGATCTCTTGTAAGTAAGAATGGGATCTAGAGACGGAGGAAACTGGAAATACAAGGGATGGGGAAATAAAAAATACTAAGCTGTGCTATGCATACGCGCCAACTCCCCAGAATGAATGAAATCACTACTACCACAAACTTGTACTAGTGAAAATGTTCAAAATAAAAGAATGAATAAATCAGTGTCCTTCCCACAGCACCTTCTCCACTTTCCAATTAGTATGCTGGGAGAGGATGATGTCCCAAAATTTCAGCAAAGAGAGCAGAGTCTTTAACATCTGTCCTGATCATTAGGCAGCTGCATGTGTATTAAGAAGAGAGTAAGGTAAGTCAATTACACCTTCAGTCCACATGTGGGATTTAAGTCAATCTAATTCCTTGGCTTTTTCTTCAACTTAGTTTTGAAAATATCTATCCTGCAATGCTATGTTTGTCAAAATCTAACATGCGTGAGTGTCATTTGGAAGGTTTCTAAAATAGGTTGTGTAGGGCAGTGAACTCTTCTGTATGATTCTACAGTGGTAGACGTGTGACATTAGATATTTGTCAAAATCATAAAAATGTGCATAAAGACTGAACCCTGGTGTACACTATAAACTTTGGGTAATGATGTTTTCATGTAGGATCAGAGATGGGAACAAATGTACCGCTGTGGTGGGCATAATGCTAATTCAGGAGGCTGCACATGTGTGAGGTGGTATACACGGGAACTCTGTGCTTTCCACGTAATTTTTCTGTGATCCTAAAACTGCTCTAAAAACTAAAGTTTGTTTTGAAAAACAATATGTACACAGATTATTGGATTTTGTTTTCAGAATTTCTGACTCAGTAGACTTCTAGAGCTCAGAATTTGCAATTCTAGTGAGTTCTAGGGTAGTGATACTCATGTTGGTCCAGAAACTTCAAGAGAATTTCTGTTTTAATATAATGCTTCAGATTTCAGAAATAGAAAATTTGCTTACAATAAAGCCTTGGGTTCAATCCAGGTAGAATATTATTTACCTCACAAGCAACATTGACACCTCATTCTCTGTGGTTCACTTTTGTATACTTTATTTTGGAAGCTACTATATGCCAGATACCAGGATACATATTAGCATGTTGTCTGCACCACTGAAGATTTTATGATCTAATGTTTTTATCTTTAGTTCTAGTAAAATTAGTTAGTAATTTTAGAAAACTTAAATGTTCATTTCTAAACTAAACTGCAGTGCAACTAATTTTAACTTCTTTAAAATGAATTAGCAGTTGAGCTAGTCTTATAGTATAAGACAATGCAGGGTTTTTTTACATATTGGTCTATAATATAATCTAAGTTTTTACATGTCTCCCCCTAGAAAGGATTGAAAAATCATTTTACGTATCTACATACCCTTACTTTGCAGTTGAGGAAAGAGAAACCTAGAAAAGTCAGGCAACTTTACCAAAGACACTGAACAGGGCTACAGCTAAGTCCAAATTATAGGACTCCTAATGCTATGGTAAGCAGGAACATCAAAACAACACCCAGGATTTGGAGGGAGATTCATTTACATCAATGGGTACTGACTGGGATCATTTCCAAAATATCAGGCCCTGATCTCTGGTGGTCCAGGGCTTGTATGGGATAAGCAAGCAGGAAGTACAGAGGCAGCATGGCTTGTCAGTTGGGGTTTGGTTGGTACAGTGTGCGTCACAGCGAGCAGCCGTTTCTAAGAGAGAGAAGCAACTGGAACTGGAACAGGAATCACTACCTGGGCAACTAAGAAAATGAAGTACACTGGCTGGGGTACATTTTCTGTTGCATCCCCAGCAAATTTTTGCTGGGCATATCCCATGTGAGTTTCTGAGGCAAGGCACAACTAGAAGCAGTAATATTAAGGTTGTCAGTGATCCTAGGACAGACCCTTGCTAAGCTCCCCAAGGTTGTAAAATAGTGAGGGAGTTAATCTGATCTAAGAGAGTGTCCAATGTGCCCTGGATGCTTGTCAAATCCTGGCCAAGTGTTTGATTGATTGTTCTGTTCTCTTGAGGCAATGATCCTTAGGGTTTAAGCAAAAACCACAGCTGGAAGGGGGTGGGGAAGAAAGGACTGGGTGAACAGCCTGAAAAGATACAAAAATCAAAGAGAATAGGTATAGAGCAATCCCATGAACAATGTCCTCAGGTTTCAGCTGTGCATGGACTGATCAGCATCCAGAGTGACTAGAGCAGGGCTCTGAGTGCATGGTCTCTTCAGAGTGAGCCTCGGAGGAGCTGTCCAGGTGAATATTCCAGCGGATGTGGGGCTGGATTTGTGAAACTTGTAGAGGTAGTTAATATGTACCTGAGTTATATGTGTGTGCAGGAATGTCTGCAGATATAGCTGGTCTTTTAACTGGTTACAAGGCATTTGTTTGTTTGTTTGACATTTTTAGAGCTTTGTGGCCTGTATGTTATGTGTAGTTTTATTTAATCTAGTTTTTTAATTACGTCTGCTACAAATGCAGGCCTGTTGTTGTTGTGAATGATCAAGGGTAGGCCATATCTAGGGATCATTTTTTTTACAGCAGGACCCTACAAACTTTTATTGTCTTCTCAGGATGGGTGAGGAATGGGAGGTTGGGGCCAGTGACACAGACACTGAAACCTGAGCCAGCTACAGGGGTATAGGTGCCAATGCAGTGGCTTGAGCTTGCAGAACATATGGTGGGGGCAGGGCTGGTGGCTGAAGTTTTAGGCAATTGGATCCCCAGAGGGGGCTTAGGCTTCTGGATCAGATTATTTTGCATTGTTGGTGGCAGGTTTTCAAACAGCAGCAAGAAACAGTTTCCTGTGCAGAGCATCTCTGCAGAGAGTTTTGGCTAAAAGAGTTTTGTCCAAGGTGACCACAGCATATCCAGCCTGTCAGAGTTCATCCCTAACAGACCTACTTTAATCTTTAAACAGGGTGTATTCAGCATCTGTCAGGGGGATCAATTATTAGAACAGTTCATCCCAGCACAGCATGTGGCACCTGGACAGTTAGGGTTCAGTCTAAGGTGAGCTTGTCAGCTTTCTTGATCAGAAGCACAGTGGCTGTTAGAGTGCAGAGGCACAGTGGGGAAGCAGCCCTAGTGACTAGATCTAAGTATTTGCACAGATACACCACTGGGTTTTTGTGAACTCAAGGATCCATATTTTATAGTCAGCAGCTCGAAGAAATTTGTGGAAATTTTCTTGTAACCAGTGTCTGCCAGAT